GTCACCGGGTCCGGGACTTGAACTGCGGTTGACTACATGGGAGTCCAGCAACATAGCCATTACACTAACTGCTGGTCCAATGACTCCTTTCTTTAGGTACCTACAGCACTCTATTTCTCTTGAGTTTTCAATCTTATGTCAGAGTATATTGCCATGATAAATCAAAGATAACAAAAGCTAACTGTGATATGTAAATGCAAAATATATTGTATATTGTAGTATATTTTGCTCATGTTAAAAGGACTCAATCATACACTGGCATTTAAACATGATATTCTAGCTGTATTTGACAGTTATAATAATTTATTTAAATGATGGTGTGTTAATGTTACTTCAGAATAAACATTGTGAGTATAAATTTGAATGGAGATTAGAAATATATCTTATGACTTCTATTACTCAAAACTATAAAACACAAAACTTCACACGTGCCTCACATTATCAAAAAAAAGACAATGCACGTGGCAGCAAGTAACAGGACAATTAGTGGTCCTATTTCTAATTTCATTAGGTAGACATGCCGATTTCAACGGCAGAGATGAGGGGCTTACTAGTCATACCTTCAGAAGCTATGATACTTTAGGCAAAATTCCTTTTTGAATTTGAGTTGCTTAGAGCGAATGCCTTTTAAAAACACAAAATATTGGTGCAATATACTAATGATTTGAAGGAGACAGAATGTAATTATTAGTTTATTTTCCTTTGCAAAACACATTAACAGGTAAGAGAATAGGGTTTGCTCTAGAAACTAGGTAGCCCCCTGCAGCTATATCTAGACTTGAACTCAAACCAAGCAGAACTTCCGAGATTAGCTACTGGTTTTGCTTTTAGTATGAAGACTTCATGAGAAACCCCAAATGCAAAAACCCCACAAATAAAGCTGCTCTAAAAGAGAATATATCAACCCCACAAAAGTGTAAAAACACCTTAAAACACCTTTCATAACGTCTGAGGTACTGTTTCTGTTCATTTGGAAATGTATAACCAGTTTCCCAGGTTGTGAAGAAAATGTTGACATACACATTCAAGGATCTGAATTGCAGGTCTTGTTCTGCCCCGTAGTCTGTATGACTTTGGGCAAATCAATTTTCTCTCATACTCCTAGTTTCTTGAATTGTCATGAAAATTGGGATTACATTAAATGAAACTGTATATTCTTAAATCTTCAGCAACTTAGCTCCATGCGAATATTACTTAATGACTCTTAAATTGTCATGTGTTAAATGATGCATATGCTATAGCCTGTGCTTTTAATTCAAAGGGATATTGCAACAGCACGGATATAAAAAGTAACTTTGAAAATTCACATGTAAACTAGAAAAATCTTTAAATTTGTATGGCTTTTTAAATTAATAAATGATAAAACATGACACCATGGAGGAAGGAAGAAGAAAATCTGAGATGGTGGTGGGAAATGATGGGTAGAAATGTCACGGTCGAGTAGGTCAGCCCACATGATTAAAAACAAGGGGAGAAAAAAAAATCAGGTTATTTTTCACAGCTATTTTTTGTGATACATAGCTTTAGATTTTAGTAATAAGGATAAGATTGTCAAGAAGTTAAATAAAGTTTGTTCATAAAAGGACTACAATATACTGTTTTGGATTTTGCCCAGCAGTGATTCAGGAAACAGAATACTAATTTAACTCTCTTACTAGTTTCATAGCTATCCAGAGTTTCCATGGTTAAGACTTTATACGAGGGGGCAGCAGGAGGCATAGTGGTTAAGGTGCTGAACTCCCACATTGCAGAGCATAGTTTGAGTCCCAGACCTGGTGGCTTGAACTGCCCCTGGTGGCTTGAATTGTCAGCTACGTGTGTGTATGTGTGCCCAAAATCTCAAAAGGAGAATGGAGGAGGAGGAATTGTAGCCATCCTCCCTGAAGGGTGATGTCTTGCTTTCTCTCTCTGTCTCTGTCTCTCTGGTGAGCACACATGCCCTGTAGCAAAAATCTCTAAAACAAAAAGAAGAAGACTTCATATGAAAATTAATATAAAAATGAATGTCCTGTATGATTTATTATAAATTGTTCCT